TGCTCACATCTATACTCTCACATTTTTACACTTGTCACACTTGTCACCTCTGACAAAACTTGGCCAGTGTTAGTATTGCATTGTTAGCCTCAATACTGTTACATCCTCATTTGTAAATGACTTTGGACAAAAGTGTTTGCCAAATTTATAAACTTTGATCTATAAACATTTAAAATCATTTTTTGCAATGAGTGTTTCATACACAATATATCGCAAATACTCTAGACAGCAACACGTTGGTTCAATAACAGTCTGATGCAGAAGTGGCACATTTCAGATGTTTACAACAGAACATTTCGTTGAACCACTTTAAATTTGCAGTTCTTGATTCATTATGTTTCTATTGTCTTGGCTGTTATGACTTCTGCATTTCTGATATAATGCTGCTCTAAAGTTTAAACCTTTTGTTTTTGTCATTTAAAGGGGACATATTATGCTAAATCACTTTTCACATCCTTTTGTACTGCCATGTAGGTCACTACTGCCTCTATAAACACTTAAATGTGTATATTAACCATCAGTCCATCATCTAGTTTCTGTCAGTGTTTGCGTCATCGATCGCAAGGCATGCCGGGATGCTGGTCGCTGTGATACTTTTTTCAAAAACCTTTATTGACAACTTTTAAACAAACAGTCAAACGGTTATTTGAAATTAATATACATTCATTGCTGCTTTGTCTAAAAGTTTTTGAGCATCAACTAACTAAAACTACTTTCATTAGAAAATACATATTTTCAGAATAGAAACTTGAGCCTTTTCTCCTGCAGCAATGAATCGTGGGTAATGTCCTTCACCCAAGTTCACAACAATGTGGACTTGGGTGAAATGCAGATCAAGGGTGCAAAAGGGGCGTGATCAACTTCCGCACTTGAGAATCGGGACACTCTACGCACTCACATCCCTAGTTGGGATCGCGCATTTGAAGTGTGCAAGGGTGGAAGTGCGAATATTGAGATTGGGGCTCCAGCGTACCCTGGGTCTTCCCATGGGTCTCCTCCCAGTTGGACACCTCAACTGGCTCTTTTCAATGTGGAGGAGCGGTGGATCTACTCAGAGCCCCTCCTGGGGTGTCTGGGGAGAGCTCCGACACCCTGCAGAGAAAACTAATTTCAGCCGCTTGTATTCATCTTCACAAAGCTCTTGACCATAGATGAGAGTTGGAACTTGGATCAATCAGTAAATCAAGAGCGTTGCCATCCAGCACAGCTCTCTCTTCACCACGACACACTGGTACAACGCCCGTATTACTGTAGACGCAGCATCAATCTGCCTACCGCCCCACCTTCCCTCATTTGTGAACAAGACCCAGAGATATTCAAACTTCACCTGGACCCGGAAAAGGCATTCAACCGTTTCCCAACTTAAGACCATGTGACTATTATATTCTAAAAAGCTCTAACAAATCCCTCTTAAAGTGATTGTGTGTTATGACTGTATCTCCTTGTAACATAATAAATGTATAAAACTTTTTGCTGCTTTTAATGCAAATTAAATGTACTGACACAATTTTAAATGGTCTCACAGCCTTTACATGCATTTTCTCTCAGTGTTTACCAAGTTTATTAACTACTTGCCATCATTTTGGCTTTTAGAGAGAAGGATATTGGGCATGGTCAGGAAGTGACGCATTTGACCTTGTTGGGACAGATCTTCCATTTGAAGCCAGCAACTCCCCCCAGAGCAACAAAAAGTCACCCCAGTGGTAGGAAACTAAGGATTCAGTTTATTTGCATGCCCTAGAGCGCAAAATTACAATTTCCCATAAGAACTGACAGGTAGTAAATGTTTAAATACCCACCAAGGTAAAGGTGACAACTTTTAAGTCCTGCATGTCTTTGCATGCCTCTTTGGCTGTATTTCTAAAACAACAGTCTTAAGTAGTCAAAGACTTTATGCAATGTTTTGAACAACAAAGCAAATAATCTGGAGTCCACAATTGCTAGTAGGAGTGATAATATTTAAGGTTTGACTCACTCACTGCAGCATGTTTAGTCACCTCTTTGCTACTTGAAACAACAGAGGCAGCTTCCAAACAAAATACCCCTGATGTTCTGGGTCCACTTGGACAAACATGAGCGTACTGTGCTGCACTCCTTTTATAGGTAGAGGCCAAGGTGATTATGTAAGTGTGTGTATAGTCCTGAAATCAACATTCTAACACTGATCATTTTGCCTTCATAAGGCAGTTTGTAGGATTTGGTTGGCAGTCACTTTACGTGAGTGTGTCATTAGAGGTTTGTGAGGTAACTTTATTAACATGATTGTATTTGTGTATGTCATGCAAAATTTGTTTACCTTTTTCTTTACTAAGTTTCCTGACACGTAATGAGTTCACTCGGTATTATCAGCTGCAAAACTCAAACATTTCTCAAAACACAACAGGAAGAATGAAATAAACATTTCTCACATATGTTTAGGGCAGCAGTAGCTCAGGAGATACAGCGGGTAGCAGGTTTGATCCTGACTCCCGCCAGAGAGTGCTGCTGCCATGTCCTTGGGCAAGACATTTGTCCTGCCTTGCCTGCTGGCGGTGGTCAGATGGCTCGGTGGCACCGGTGTTGGGCAGTATCGCATCTGTCAGTCTGCCCCAGGGCAGCTGTGGCTACAATGTAGCTCATCATCTCCAGCATATGAATGTGTGTGTGAATTGGTGGATGACTGATTGTTGTGAAGCGCCTTGGGGGGTTGTAAAACCCTAAAGAAGGCTATAAACAAATACAGGCCACTTACCACATTAAAAGATACTCTGACTCTGAAGAGTATTGAATATTTTCAGTCCTGGAGCAACCACATTTTCTGCTTGTTTTGATGTCAGAAATCAAATTTGTTGTAATTTTTAGTTTTACATTGGCTGATGCTCTCACTATTTTCATAAGACAACAATTTAATCTCTTTAGTTTAGGCGTGCTATTTTATATGTATTGTTTAGATTACTGTAATGAGTCTTAACAAAAAGTACATACGTTTAAAAAAAAGACATCAGTACTTAAAAGTACTTGGCTAAAAACTGGTAGGGAAAAGGGCTAATGTTCAAAGAAATACTTTGAACTATCTTCAAAAACCTCTCATGAATCTTCAAAAAGGGCAAAATTAGCTTGGATCCTTGAAACTTAGTGATGCACCGATATGAAAATTCTGGGCCGATATCAGATATTAATATCACTGTTTTGGCTGATACCGACATGCTGACATTAATGCTTCTAAAATCAGCAAAATGAAAATTATTAAAGCTGAATTTACATTATTATGTACACACACCACACACATTTATGCTTCTGAGATGATTACAACCACTGTTCACATGACTAAACAATTACACATCACCCCCCTCTTCCTCTGAAACAGGCAAACAAATGGAGACAAGATGGAAAAAATATCAGTTAATATCGGCCCGGTTTTATTTATCGGACCGATACTGATGTGTTAAAAATTACTAACATCAGCCGATACAGATATTTATGCTGATATGTTGTGCATCCCTATTGAAATTCCAACAAAAATAAAACAAGACGTTAGCAGATTTCTGCTGAGTGCTCAACAGCCTTCTTTCCACTAATGTGAGTACTTTGTTATTGTGCACTGGAACAGGTTTAAAATGTAATCGGAGTAGCAAAGATAAATATAAATCCATTGAAAATATTAAGTCTGTTTTGATCAAGTGTAAGGGGTTATTTTTCATTGGGTTAATCTGGAAAATTATTCAGTTTAATCATCAATTTAACAGGCTGAACATATAATTCTGATAGGTCTTTTGGAATTTCCATCCCATTCGCATATAAACGTTCATGAGTGAGTGACTCTGATCCCCGAGGAGCTGTTGGTTTAGTGGAGGAGGTTGACACACTTACTGTCTCACACAACACACTCATATTCACTGATTTATGCACGGAATCACAGTAATATTTCAGAGCTGTATTTTAGTTTTTAAGAGGTTCAAGAGTTCTGGCTCGATTTCTCCACCAGCAGGTGGTTTAGGTCATGAAGAACATCCTCAAGCTTGCAGAATAGTTTCCCTGAGTTTGCTTATTTATTCTATGATGATTTTCCACATTTTCTCTTTATTTTCACCTCATATCTCTCATTACTCACATTGTCCAGACACATTTGCCCTTATTTCTTTTGACCCAAATCCCATAAATGTAAGAACCTCTATGCTGAGTTAAGCTGATGCCCTGTAATTTGAGGAGGACCTGGGGGCTACATCTGCATCCCTCTGCGTTTTTACCTTCCTCTCTTCTCTTTGACTTTTTCCAGAGCATCAGAGGCATACTTGTGCAGTGAGAAGTGTCTGGGGAAAGGCCCCTGTGCTTGATGTGTGGAGCGGTCAGAAACAGCACATAATCATTATTGCTGTTGTCAGCTGGCATGCGTTTAAGTGTGCGCGTTTACCAAGGCTCCGCGTCCAAACTGTTTGTGGTTTTCTTCGAAGATTACATAATGGAACAAACTGACTGCACCTCAACCTCCTGATGTTTTTTTTTCCTCCAAACTTAAGCTCATTAGATTAGACTATCATTTTTACCTGTGAAGTATTTTATTGTGGTGAAATATTCAGAAACACACAGTAGCTGGTACTTGTCCCGCATTTATTTGTTTGGCTTCATACATCCAGAAAAGGGTGGATGTTTACAGTAGAGCCATTAAAAATAATGAAAATCTGTTTCATATATTCACATTTTCTAGCTAAAGTTTAGTCATTACAATATTGGAAACTTAGATGATTAGCCCCAAGTTGGCAGTAAAATGTGTTGGTAGGGTTACTTATTGTGTGTTTCTCACTTTCTCCTCCTGTTTTAACTCTTTTTACAAGCTCGCTCAGAATGAGTCAGTGAAATAAAGGTTTAATGAGAGTCTTGCTGCTGCTTTTGGGTGATTTTTTTTAACTGGCAGACATTGTTTATGAGTCGGAGGGGTCAGGTTAAACCAGATGTGGAGTCATTCATCTGAAACTAAACGATGCAGTGATGCACAAGTAACGTTTTATTTCTTTTGTTTGCAGCACTGCCATGGTATTGGTGGAGTGAGACACTACAGTGAAGGAAGAGCCCACAATAAACTATATTCGTTGAACACACTGCTTCAAAGTCAGCGACCTAATAAGTGTTGAAGTTCATCATGGACGGAATAGACACGCTGCAGAGCTCGGCCTCAGAGACCAAGGCTGAGCGGATTGCTCGTTACAAGGCAGAAAGAAGAAGGGCACTGGCTGAGCAATATGGCAACACTGAGGACTTCATGTCCAAGTATGTCCGAAGGGACAGGAGAATTGGCGAGACATCGGAAACGACCTCTTCAGACGTCAAAGAGAAAGAAAAGCATGATGAAAATGGATCAGAGCCAACGTATACGAGGAGGGGCGTCAGAAATAGAGTGGCTGATACTGTGGAGAGAGTTGGTGCTGAACCGGTCCAGGAAAAGGAGACCAAGACTTCCCTCAAAACAGAGACCGTTTCATCTGTAAAGATCCCTGCTCATTACAGGTGTGTTTTATAAAAATTCTCATTTAGTTTTAATTAGAGATGCCTGATATTATCGGCCTATCATCGACCAATGGTGGCATAAAGATGTAATACCAGACATTATCAGTATCGATTTTTACTAACATTTACTCCCAACACACATATTGTACATCAAACTCTTCAGCTGCTTCTCCTCTCACTCAAAATGTCAAAATATGACAGATCCGAGGTTTAGTTCTTGAGATATTTTGCTTGTTTTCAAAACTTCAATTCAAGTAGTTGTCATATTTTGCACGGTTGATGTTTAAAGTTTAAGCATGAATGATAGAGATATGCAATGTTTGTTAGTTTAGTTTAGCTTTGTTTTAATTAATGAGGAGGGGCTTCATATATTTGTATCAGTTTATATCACTATCGGAAACTAAGGGTCAGACTGTATCGGTGTGTTGGATACCGGATAAAAAAGACGATATTGAATATCTCTCATTTCAACCAAATGCTCATTGTGTTCAGAGTACAGTTTTAAGGTGCAACTGACATGCAAGCATATTTGAAAACGCTAAATAGCGTGTGTTCTTGTAGTGAGGGAAGAATTTACATGGAGGGAACAACTATGTGATGTTTGAAGTGAACACAGCTTTTCCAAAATTGGTCTGTGGTAATTATATAACTTCTTCACACATTGCTGCAGTTGCATTCAAGCTGCTTGTTTTTGTTCACCTCAAGTCAGATGGGAAAGGGAGCTAGTAGATTAAAAAAAACACTGGAGGACTTGGAAGACTTCCTATCTGATCATTAGTTACAGCTATTTGAGGTTTGTTCATAGTCTGAACAAGACCATGCCCAGTCGTGGTAGAGCTGCAGATGTTTGAGCTGCAATCTAAATGAAAATTATGTTGCGCAAGTAGCTGGACTTGTCTGTTCCTGAAGAAGTTGCCAGAGGGGATAACCAAGGAAAGACATGAGTTATTGTGGACACTGTCTGAGATGAATAGATGCTTTATTGTCCCTATAGAGGAATGTTGGTCAGTGAGTGAACATATGACACTGCCTATTTATTTCAACAACAAAAAAAAAACTAGCAAAACTAATAAACTAAAACACAGATTTTCCATTAAAACACATTTAAAGAGAGAAATATCCTCTGCAGCTCGTGGCTTCTGTGAATGCTGCCTAATTTGCACCAGGGTTATCCAGTTCCTGATGTTGAAGTTTGGGGCTTACGGGCAAAGAATTACTCAACTCTACTCAACCAAGTTTTGTTTTGGTTGCTTAATGAAGCAAGATATGACTGCACTTGTGAGTAAATGCCTGTCAGGTGGTATGAAGCAATTATTTTATGGGGTTGAGAGAAGAAATATGAGGCATGCTGCAGGATATTTATTAACTAATTCAAAGCACATAGTATAAGTGTCTTGGAGCATTTGTATGGGTTTTTGTTTTTCTAACAAGTTGCTAAACTTGCTCTTATGTTGCTGGAATTTCTATCATGTTCTAAGTAGGGTTGTCACGGTGTGAAAATTTTACCTCACGGTTATTGTGACCAAAATTATCGCGGTTTTCGGTATTATTGCGGTATTATTTTAAACGTGTTATATTTTCAGACAACTAAATGAACCCTGTATATCAGGAAAATATTGTCCTCAGTTTGTGTCTAAATTTTGCCTAAAATTTGTTATTTTGTATTATGTTGTATGTGTTTACATTTTTCCCCTTTAGTCTTTAAATTACCAATATTTGCCCATAACTTCTTATTTTTTGTCTGTTTGATGTCATCATTTTAAAAATATTAGATCAGATGATACTCAGTACTCAAGTAGCCTGCTGATCAGATACTTTTTAACCCTTACTTGAGTAATAAACCCTATATCAGGAAAATATTGTCCTCGGTTTGTGTCCTTCCAGTGAGCTTTGCAGATGTGGGAAAATGTCATCAGGCAGTAATCATTGTTAAATTTATAATTATTCTCGGAGAGAGACCAACTCTTATCTGCCCCTGGGAGCCTCGTAACGCACGTAATTTCAATATGGGGGTGTCCGCGACACGGTTTATATGCAGGTAGCGGGCGCTTCGGCTGCTATATATAGCGACTCGTTGCATTCTCCCTCAACCCAAATCCTCGGATTACGCATTTTAGTTAAAATGCTAACATTAACTTGCCTTGCGTTGACTGTAAAGTTGTGGGTGATGGTCACGCAGATGTGTCATGAGGGGGGCTGGATTACTGGCTGTAATGCACAAATCACACAAGCTTGCAATAGAACGAAGGACAACACCTGTCCCCCTCCAGCTTCCTCCCAGTTTTTATTTAACCCTCTCAGGCTCAAAATAAGTTTTGATAAAAGGATGAACAACTAAGTCCTTCAGGGGTACCGGTACTTCTGAGTTAAAAAATGCTCATGAAATACGTATGTGGAGTAACCAGGTAGGTAGGTTTTAACTGCTGCGAATCTGCAACGCCTGCCATCAGAGGGTTAAGTTGAATTTAACATCAGTTTATCATCATGAAACAAAAGAATAACGTGGAACAAAAACTTCTATTTTCTATTTCTCTCTCCTTTTAACTTCTCCCTGTCCCTAAATAAAAGAGACAGATGATTACGCTGCAGCTGCCGTCATTGACCCGCTGCCTCCCCAAGACCAGATCTCTCGACATCCCAAGACTCGGTCTGACTGAGCACTTCGAGGAAAAATAATGAAATTATGAAAATAATGCATGTTTGGAGGAGCGTCCTCCGGCCCTCTCTCTTGTGTGAGCAGACAGTCTCTCTCTCTCTCTCTCTCTCTCTCTCTCTCTCTCTCTCTTGCTCCCCCCTCTCTCTCTCTTTGATCGATCGATCCAGAGAACGAAGCGCTCCAGGCGACAACCCGCTCAATTAACATAATTCACAGCCCAAATCCGACAGAAATGATCAGGCTGATTCGGTTCGGGTTCGATCTCAGGTTACAACTCCAGCGCTTAGCCCTGCAATACAACATGAAGGCGGACCAAAGCTTATAAATGTGGAGAAAACCCATCCTGACAGATCTGGATGCTATACGCTGGTGCCGCCGTTAAAATAACAAAATTACATTCCACTATAATTCATTATGGTGTACTCTTCTATGATGCAGAATCGTTTATGCCCACATCTCGATGCATTGATTATTTGATCATTTTCCTCAGCTCTACCCTACACCTCCCAGTCGGCCGTCGGGGGTGGGGTGCCTGCGGGCCGCCTATTGAGTACTGCTGTATTAGACCCTTTTCAAATGACATATCCTGAGCCCAGAGCACCATAGTTGTAAAACATCTTTGCAAGGGATCAGCAACCAATTAACAATTGTAATTAAACTATTGTAAGGGCACACGTCACCCCTCTGTTCATTGAGCTCCATTGGCTACCGCTAGCTGCAAGCATCAAATTCAAATCGCTAACACTAGCATACAAAGTCCGAGATGGTACGGCTCCCATCTACCTGAATCCTCTTACAAAGGCTTACGTCTCGGCCCGGCCACTCCGGTCATCACAGGATCGTCGGCTAGCAGTGCCTACACCACGCTCAGGACAATCCAGACTCTTCTCATGCATCGTTCCACAAATGTGGAATGACCTACCAAGCACTACCAGAACAGGGGCTTCCTTTTCGACTTTCAAGAAACACCTGAAGACCCTGCTCTTCAGAGAGCATCTTCTAAACTAGCACCCTCCCTGCACCCGTCCCCCTCTCTACTGTCCACTCCTTGTTCCCACTTCTCCATGATTCATCTGCCTCACTGCCACCTACGACTGACTGGAAATTGGTTGTTGTTGTAATTATTGTTATTAGCCTCAAGGGCAACATGCCGATTATAACTTGTAAGTCGCTGTGGACTAAAGTGTCTGCTAAATACATAAACATAAAACACTTTGTGACTAAATTGTTAGAATAAAATTGGTAAAATTGTTTGCAGTTGCATTATTGACCTCTGCTTAGTTACAAACATCCTGGCCCAAATGTCAAATTCTGAGTATTTCCTACCAACCACAATTTCCTTACTGTTTTTGATAATGGTGAAATACAGAGAAACGATGCATAGAAATCACTTCAGTTAGAGAGCAGGAATATTGTTGGTGCATGTATTTCTTAAACGCCTGCTGAGGGTGTCTTGTTAGTGTCGTCGTGACAGTTTCTGTGTGCCACAGTTCATTTGTACTCCATCATGTGCAAACACACTTAAGCAAAATGCTGAAAATGCAAATAAAGGCTATTGTCAGTCAATATGTCATCCCCAGACCAACAAATGTTATTGATTTTAGGCATTAACTACAGTTGTTTGTCATCTTCTTAACATTTCTTTAGAATGATGTCTGTGTGTTCCTAAAACACGTACACTCAGTGGTATTTAGTTAGTTTTGTATACATTCCATGCCCTTAAAGGAAGCGTGTTTGTGAATTTGTTACTGGAATACCAAGAAGGAAACTGGAAGCACACAGTTCCCAGTGATTGTAAATGTATCAGTCACAAGATGTATCTGTGTCAGGCAGAAGTTATTCGCTCGTGAATTTAAAGTTGAATTATGACATTCCAAAAAGAGAGAGGGAGAGATCTCTACTTGCCACGCTGATTAACATCGACACTATTATCAGCTTTTAATTTTTTGTCACCTGTTAATACATATGCTACATAGTCAAACGAAGGTAGGCATCTAGAATAACAATGTTCTCAAAAATGTATCCAACTCAAATATTCATTTTTTGGCTTTGCAAAAAAACTCGTCCAAGAGGGGCACTTTTTTAACACTGTAACATAATTGGAGCAAATGTGTGACATGTATACGTGTTCTAAAGGTAATAAAATCTGCCATCACTTCTGTTGTAGCTACACCAATGAAGTCTCTCTCTCTCTCTCTCTCTCTCTCTCTCTCTCTCTCTCTCTCTCTCTCTCTCTCTCTCTCTCTCTCTCTCTCTTTCGCTCCCCCCCCCCTCTCTCTCTTAGTTAGTTAGCAGCTAACAAGGTAATTTGCTTAGAGAGGCGACTCTTCGTTCTCCGCCAAGG